GGGATACCGCAGTCCCATGTGGATCAGAAAACAGCCACAACGTCGTAAAATTAAACCCTGACGAAGATAAATACTATCTACTTACACCATACCCTACACTCAAGCAGCCACTAAAAAAGTTTTCACCAGAAAGCATTCGAGCTATTGCTCGCAACCCAAATATCGATTTACAATCAATCGGTATATACTCTAAATCCGATTACATCACATTAGAACACAACAGTTTCGAGAACTACTAACACAAATGGACACTATACAACGACAATCAATAGACCAAAATTTACGAAAACTTGCAGAAACAGCAGGATTTTCAGATATTTACGCACAAGATTACAGCGGATATTTTAAAGACATCAAAGATTACACATATTTAAACGGTGAAAAATACCGACCACAAGATATATCACCAATCAATATCTTTAGTTTTGTAAATTTGAAAAACGAAGTTTTAGCCTTTCTAGGATGGCCAAATTACATCCTAGAAAGATTGACTATCTTATACGCAATGTTTAATTTTATTGGATTTCTTTTCTCATTACTAAAAGGAATCTATAACACATGCGCAATACATACACAAGTAAACAGACAAGCCAGCGTAGCACGCATATTTGCATGATTTTTTGGAATATTTTCATCATCAATAAATAAAATCCTCCTAGATGCACAAATTAAAGAATACAATACAAAACTATCAACAAATCCCAACAGATACGATGACTCAAATAATAATACAAACGCATTACCTACGGCACCCCATTTGCCAAATAATCATCCATTATCTTTAGTCTCACGAAATTTTCGAAACTTAGCAATCACAAACCCCCTAAACTTAAGACGCAGCCACACACAAAGCCCCATCCAACACATAGTGACACAACAACCTTCAATTGACAATACATACGAACAAATCATTGAACAGCCCCATACCACCCTTTTCAGTTTCAAAATAATCATTTTTTCAGCCCACGATGAGCAGACAAGTTGGATCACTCCACCGATCAAACTCCCACCCTGCCAACCTCCAGAATCCACTCCCTATTATCCCACTTTTTGCTTTTCCACCACCTGATTCACCACAAGCTAACACATCATCCGGCATGAATTCTGACATAGAAATCACAATTTATACAACGATTTCACAATTCAATGATTCTGATATTGAAACCCCCGACGAATTCGCCGATTCAGAACCATCCCCTTCTACACATACCCCGATCAGCTCAACAAGCTTTTCAAAACCCCCTTTCCAACCTATACAATCCCATAGCCAACATACACCTCCCTACACTCCTTCTCAAGTAACCCCAACATACTCCCCATTCAATAATGAACGCTCCACCAACAACTCCCCTGATAATATCCAACTTTCCGAAGAACTAGATAATTTCATAACACTCCAACAACAATTGCTATCTCCCCACACCCTCACTATTCACCAATTATCATCAACAATAACATCATCAAATCCACCAACACCCACACCAATTTCAGATTATACTCCATCATTAGCTCATTCATCCACTTCCACAGAATCATCCAACAGTACTAACCGTGCTTATAGAACTTTTAAACGTAAATTCCCCAATCACCCATTCCCACCCAAACCCGGAACCGCCCGAGAATATATCAATCTTCCAGACCACACCAATACTACGAATTTTCTTCAAATAACCCTACCTTTATTTCCCCAAAATACACTACATCAATCTGACTCTAACCCTGAACCACGTCATTTTGTAGATGAAAATGTATTATTACCCTCACTTCATTGGACAGCTTATTATAATTTCACTAATCCCCTTACGCTACCACTCTATAACACCACTATCGATATTGAAAGGAATAAAGACGAGTTATTCAGATTAACCACAGCACTCACTCCACGACAATTTACATACGTAGGATATAAAAAATTACTAAAAACATTCACTGCACCCCGCGCTAACGAGTATTCAATTGAATATTACGATCATAACATCATCAGATCTAATCAAGACCAATTTCTTGACGACGATAAATTTGCAAATCCACAAATCACAGAAAAGTTTTTTTTATTAAATCATCATACATATTCACACTTAACATACTAGATAAAAAGCATGATCACATTATTTCAGAAGCACTATCGGACATCCAAGCATATGAATCATTTCACGAAAAATTTCAAAAATTTTCACTAACCTTTCACTTCCTGACACCAAAAGAGCGCGATTTGCTCTGCTCACACGACATCATGTTGAGAACTAAGCAAACACATACTTTTACTTACTATCGCTTTATCCAAAATCATTTTCATTTACACACACCATCACGCCAACCCCACCACAGATTTCAGTTCATTAATTCCAAATACAGCTCACCATTTTTTCTAAACTTCACGTATTGCATTAAAAATACTAACTTTCAAGGCATCCTCCGAAATTATGATCCCATCACTCAAATGTATATTTTTTGTCCCCTCACGAAGACCTTCAATGACGTAGAATCCCGACCTCTGATCATTCCGCATGAATACATTCAACCCATAGAAGTACCCATTTTAGAATTCATTCATAATACTAAATATAATAATAAAATTTATAATCTAATCCAGAACACACACCTCATGAATTTGCAGTAGGCACCGAAAACCATCAAAGCACTGCAATTGCTTTGGCCACTGTTACAAACTAAAAACATAATACGCATACTAGCAAAACTACTAACTACCTCAGACGCTATTCACGATATTTTCCCACACGGCTTTTTCCCAGATGACTAAAGGTATTTATGAATTTAATAATTTTCACACTAACTAAATCAAAATCGAACTAACCATTTTATTCAGTAATTCGTATTCTCTTTAGCCTTCTTATCACGATCACCTTCAAAACAAGAAAAGACAAATAAAAATATAAACTCTGTCCATTTTAAACTCTATTAAACCAACAGCACTAAATGATGCAGTAAAAGTTAATTCAAAGCAGTAAATTCATTTCTAAATTATTCCCCAAATGTAGTAAATTTAAAATACGATGCAAACCTTTTAACCCCAAAAGCAGTAAAATTTCACCTTAAAAGCAGTAAACTCATACGATTGAAATGCAGTACTAACCTTTTCTATAACTTCTGTTTAAATGCACAGAAATTCTATCCACAATCGCACAGCTCGCCCACGAAGAATTGTTTTAAATAATGAATTCAAGTTTTAAGTTTGCACTAACAACAACTTAAACAAGCAATAACAAGTTTCCACTTTTCCTTTAACCCGGTTGGAATGGAATTATAAAATAACCAAACTAACCAACGTAGCTTACTAAACACCATAAACCATAATCTAACAGCATGACTAAGAAAAGAAAACCCACGGTACCCAAACCGGATTAAATCAGCTCAAAACTGGATAAATTATTCTTTTGAAGACTATTACCAAGTCTAAAAAAGAAACAATAAAACACCAAAAAGTCGCAAAACAAACCCATACCAAAAACAATTTGATTTTTGAGAAAAGGACACAACCAACGAAACAAAAAATAAAAGAACACAAAAGTAAACACAAAACAGGACCCCTTTAAAAACCAGCACGAAATCATACTCCCCTTCCTGGCCTAACCCACCAGAGAGGACGTCCTGAGCATGCTCTATAGCCGGCCTAACCCACCGTGCTACATCCACGCTTTGTGACAACATCACTATTTTTGACAAGAGGTACTCAAGTGTGAGTAACTCTTAAAAATAACTGAACTAAAACTAAAACACTTTTGCGAAAACAATTAACCAAAATCATAACTAAAAAATAAGAACTACCAAAATTTTGTAAAAAATAAAAATTATAATATGCAGTACATAGATCACGAACAACCACAAGAACGAGCATCCAAAGACTAGACGAACCCATCACACTCAACCTACAGGATGGCTAAATACAACTGACATGCCGCTCACAATCACAACTCATAAAGGATTTAGGGTTCGACTTGACTTCGCAGAAAAGGACTTCATTGAATCAGACCAATGACCATCTCGATGTTCAAGTATACGTACAGATCCGAGTTACAAGGCATCCCCTCCAAACACGATCTTCACGCCATTCCCAAACCAGATCGAAACACAGTTCTCCACAACCAATCAAGAACAAACGATCATAGCAAACCAACTTGAAATCAGATTGATTTCATTGACAGTCATAGTCTTTGTCAAACGATAACTAACAACTTTCTATCGATGACTCCAGCTTCTTGGAGCTTTCTTCTTCAAGAACAAAACAGGAAATGATGCTCGTCAAACAACAACGACCAACATCCATCCTTCATTACAGATCTAAGATTCAAAACTCTGTAAGCCCCGGATGGGTGGAACCAGATATAAACTTCATTTATTATTTGGTTATAAATTGGATATTTTATCTCTATAAAATATTTAATATTAACCAATCACGATCCATCTAACTAACAACCCACTTATTTGTAAGTGCTGAAATTACTTGTAATTTCAGCACCAGAGAGATTTGAATTTAACTTAGAAATTAGTTACCTCTCCAAGAGAACTTTAGCAGTCGCAATAAGCCAGTATACTCTAAATCTATTGAGCCTAGCAGAGACTAGTTAAACACCCTGAGACTAGTAGATATAAGAGTAGATTAGGATCGGTATTAGACTAAGAAGTTGCACGAACCTATCCGGCCGAGCATAGCGTGACGAGCAGACGGTGTAACCTATCCGAAATTACTCTATGAGTAACACCTCGAACCTAACTCAGCTGTGCAAAAAAAAACAGAAACTTTCGACTAAAATGTGCGACTTTGATTGGCGTTCATCCGCATATTCGCTGGTGTAGTCAAACAGAGGCTCAAAGAAAACAGAGTCGATGCACATAAAAATCCTTTAAAAATCAATTTTAGGATGAAACACTGACCTCTTAACAGTAATAGAACTTAAAAGCAAATTTCTATAGAGTTACTGTTTGTTAGCTTGAATAACATGTATATGGAGAGTAGTAGCAGTCAGTGTGGAGTGTCTTACGGTGTAGAGATAGGAAGAAGTTTGCTAGTTGCTGTCTGTCTATGCTCAACAGTGCCTCTTCTGTGCCCAGAATACACAGTGCATTCACTGCCGCATAAGTGGGTGCAGCATGGGCGACCTAAATGCACGTACATTACATACCACACTTACTCTTATCTTACTCTTCGCCTCTATCCACCTTCGTCAGCCCCCAAACAGTTACATTCTCTCCATTGATAGTACAACAACTACAGAACAAAGAAAAACATTTTACGGACGCTGCTTTTTCCGAATTGCAGCACATTTTTACAAGCAGCACGTTCATCTCAGACAAAAGAAACCAAACTTTTGAAAAAATAATAATATTTCAAATCCTTCAATAACGGTTTTCTGGTTAAAATTTCACTTGATATTTAAGAGCACATTTCCTTGTTCCATAACTGCAAATACACGCTATCAGATTTACCATGGACTTGAACGAAACTTCCCCATGGCCTCCATACCAGCCATGAGATTGTTCCTAATGCTTCAGATATTAACGATCTTGTTGACTTCGAATACAGTGATACATATGAAATGCCAAAATTATTCGACCTTGGCCTTGAGAACAAATAATTGAGCTCCAAACAAGGCTATTCCAAGCGAGCAACAAAAATATAATAACTGATTTTTTTAAATTGCGATATAATACAAGCATAGCATTGCAAGAGCATCTACACGTCAAAAACGTTTTTACATAAAATTTTAAAACTGGTTTAAATTTTCAGTTTATCAACTTTGCCCTTAAAATAGTGCACAATAAGGTGACTAAGCATTTAAAACGTCGTCAGCCGAAACGATTAGATTGAAAAATGTTTAAAACGAAAATGTAAAAGAAACTTACCAACTCGGACTCTCAAAATCCGAGTTAGTAATTTAGAAATAAAAGAGCGACTGACAATCATACTAAAAATTGTTTAAATCGAAGAACTTCATGTTTAGGGGAAAAAGGTCCACCAAAAAATCAGCTGCAGGTCCACCAAAAAAATTACCCGCACCATTTAAAACTTTACAAAGACCTTTCTGCATGCTAGCGAAAAGTCAAACTTTCAAAAAAACTTCTTTCGGTGGGAACCCAAATATCCAAAATAGCCGAAAGTTTTCAATTTGCAAAGAAACAGGTCCCGCCAGGAATCGAACTCCTGGGCTCTCTCGTCTCAAGCATGGGTGTTACAACAACTTGAAAGAAAGCTGAAACTTCATAACAATCGGGCTACAGGAATCAAGCCGACAAAAATAGGCAGACGGACGATAGCCCGAAAAAGCAGAAAAAATCAAGTTTGCAAAAAAACAGGTCCCGGTCGGATTCGAACCACAGGCCTTTGGTACCTCAAAGACGAAATCAATTAAGCCTACAAAAAAAACAATTTTACATCTGAAAATGTTAGATTCAGTAACGCATTAAATCTAGGCACTATACCTCGAGGTGTTAAACGTGCTGAAAAAGGAAATCTAGAAAATGGAGACAATCCTGTGGAAAAAAATTTTTTACGGGAAAAAAGTCTAGTACCCGACTGCAATACCCTTGCTTATCGCAAGGTTAAAAAAATACGATAGTCGGGCACTTCACAAAAGTCGAGCAGTTCAATTTTTCTCAGAAAAAAATCCATTTCGTATTTACTGAAAACAGAAAAAATGTGCGACCAGGATTCTAATTCTAGACCTTAGGCTTCAGGGCGCCCGCAATAGCTCTAAATCAAGTGAGAAGGATCCTGCAAAACGTTTAGGTTCAATAATATAGCAAGTTCAATTTCTGACAGCTTTGTAAAAATTATTGGAAAAGTCAAGTACCCGATTACAAGTAGTCACTTGCTCTCGCAATCGAAAAAAAACTACTCTTTATAACATTTCCATCACACAGTGGCAACCATGGCTAGCTTTATCAACGATCAAAATACGTCTGACCAGAGAGAAGGTTTCTCCCACTCCCCTCACCTATCAATTTTGAAAAACTATTTAAACATTGTCGTAATGCAATGAAGCTTGGCCTATTCAACAAACTAACAATTGTGAACAGATTTGTTCTTCATACCTTAAATAATAACATCACGCGTTCAGCCATAAAAACACTCAAAGGAACTATAAAAATAGAAAATTTGAAAGGTGGGGAAAGTGGAAAAGATCCAGAGAAAAATGAGCAAATGATCCGACAAACTGGTGGAAAAAAAGCGTACTTGACGATTAGTGGCATGTGTGGTGTAGTGGTTCAATTAGACTAACTTGACATGGTCCCCCTCCGTAGCCGCCTCGTTTGCTGTCTTTGCACTTGTTCAGAAAGTGGACCACTTTGGAGGCCTCCTCCTCACTGCACTGATAGCCCAACATGCTGAGACAGTGGAGGCTCCAGTAGCAGATCCAGGGCCTAGATGCGTCCAGGGAGCAGTAGGAGGAGGACAGGGAGCGGAAGAGTCCCTTCTTCAAAAAGTCTATCGTGCACTCGGCCGAGAAAATGGAAGGAGAATTCAGAGTTTTAAGGGCTGATGAAGACATGAAGTCGTTGAAGATACGCGCCACCTACAAACCAAACAAATAAAACAAAACTAAACACACAAACTTGAAGGAGCCCTCAGCCTTTACTGAGAAAACACGTATCATCGATCACTAAAATCGAAGATCTTTTGAGAATACCTTCTCAAATTAGACGAGCTCCGCTATCGTCTTTTTTTTTCCTGAAGCTCCATTTGAACTTCTATATCAAAATGACAGTTCAAGACATTGGCATTTTGTGCTTATTTTAATCAGAATAAACACTGGCCTTCTGTTCGGTCTTGCTCTGTTCTCGGGTAGTTCTGGAATGGATAAGGGAGGGGACACTGCGACATACTTCACAGAAGAAGCCCCTCCTGCTCAAACTATCTTGCAGCTGCTCCTCCTCATCCATCGCCGATAACACTTCCCCATTACTCAACACATCCCCGTTCTCCTCATTAGTACTGCCCATGATATGACGACACTGGCCTAATGGGTCAACACAAACCTGAAATCGAACAGCGTTACATACTCCATGGGAACAATCGCCGTCTAGAACCAATAATAACTTGTTTGTTAACCAAAAGTTGGGCTCGTCTGCCCTTGAAGTTGAGAGTTTTCGGACATCACGGTATCCAATTGTCGAAGCACAAGCCCGAGGGGGTACGTAGAAGAGGGTTTTGGACAAGTTGAACAGGTGCTAAGTAGTGCGGGGTGCAACAGATCAAGTTGGAGGGAACAACAGAGCTGTTTCAGCGGTAGAGGTATGTGTTTATCAACCCGCTGTAACCGGATCAGAAATGGGAGAGCAAGACGCGTGTCCTGTAACGCAAAGGTCGCGGGTTTGAATCCCGCTTCGGTTACGGTTGGAGGTGTCCCAGTGTCATCTGCCTCCTCATTATGGGACCGGCTGAGGCAAAATCGACGCTAATATTATTAGAAGTTATTCTGATAACCTTCGCTTTGGGCTACTTGCCTTGTGTGGTTTGGTTTTAAAAGGGCTTTAAAGTAATTAAAACAAAGGTAGAAACTTCATCTCGGTTACTTAAATTTAAGGGTGGATTTTTGTTAAACGAGCGGTAGGAAAAAATGAAGTACGGGTGATAACTAGACTCACCGAAAAATAAAGGAGCTTGCTGAGGCTTGGATATGTACTGCGCATCACTAAAGAACGCGAGGAAGATGCCTGAGTTGGATGGGTGAAAAAGCTAGAGGACCTTGGTGGAGAGGAAAACAAAAATATGGAGAAACACTGACTCAATTTGGCTGAGGAAGAAGTACTGGACCTCGTTAACACTGAGGAAGAGGCAAAGGATAGGAAGCAACGAGAAAAAAAAGATCCAAAGGAGAAACCAACGAAAGATGGGATGAGACGGAAGAAAACGCGGCACAGGAAAGCATCGAGCGATCAATTTCAAACAATGAACGATTACCCGACGTCATGAACTTGTGGGGAAAAATAAGGAGTTAAAAGGACGTTGTTATTAGAACTTTTGCCTTTATCATCAATTCTTTGTAGCTTGATACACGATCGGCCGTAATCCAAGTTGGGAAATGTTGTTGGAAAATCTTAAGTTTTTGGATTGAGGCTCTTAAGATTGATACCCAACCTGTTGCATACGATAAGATTGAGATTTTGTGTTTTGAGATACGATGAGTCGAATTTTTGTGCTTAGAGTTATATATTTCTTCTAATGTAACAGACTTTTTTGTTCACTTTTAAGTTTTTGTCGGTGTGTCACCAGCACCAAGTTTTTGTCGGTGTGGCACCAGTTTTTTGTCTCCCAGCACCAAAATCGCTCCCTTCATTCCTCAGATCATAACTTAGTTATTTGTCAAAAGCTTTAGCAAAGTCCGTATAAAATCACGGACACTTCTGGGCAGTTCAATTCGTTTTTCAAAAATTGTTTAACAAAACTAGCACGTTAGTCAACAGATCGGTTTCTGATAAAAACCATGCTGCATTTTTGAAGCTTTAGACAAGAGTATTTCGAACAGTGGTTCTTTGATCCATTTACTTTGTATACGAGGTATTGCACCACTTTTCCATCTATGTATTAACTTCTTTTGGCACTTGATACATTAGAAAGAATTGCTGAGGCAAGAACTCATTGAAACCCTAGTTTTTGAAAGAAAGTTGATATGCCATCAAGTCCACCAAATTTTGTCGGATCAAATTCCTCCAGACAACTTTTGATTTTGAGGTTCGATGTGTCTTTAAGCATCCCTTAAGAAGTACGGAACACTTGGCGTAGATGGTTAATCATCTTAGGTGAAAACACTTACTGTAAAATTGATCCAATAAAGAGTTCAGACCGCAACAAGACTCCTTAATTACTGAAAGAGTCTTCTCCACTCCATTTTATCCCAGAGAAAAGTGTCATTACTCCTTGGGAATACAAAATGAAGGGCTCACTAAACTGCAATACAATTATTTCAATTTGCAAAATTTTAATGTAGAACCGGTCAATAACCCAAGCGGATGATGGTGTTCTCCTTCGAAACATTAACAAAAATGCTTTTAAATAAGACTGAGCTTCTAGCGCAGATGCGAAGCCAAGTTTCGCACCACTTACGATGCGCAACAAACAATTCGCTAAATCTAAAAATGAAATTAGCATCAAAAGAAAACTTACCGAGCGGTAACAAAGCCGAAAACACCCTAGCAGAAACCCTTCAAGCCAAAAAAATTCAAAAAGAGAAAACTAAAAAAAATTGTTAGAGCCCCATCCCCCTCAAAACACACACGCACACAAAAAAAATTCACTCATCAAACGATGCAATATGAGGCCAATAAGCCGATATAATAGACCGACTTATATTAAACCAAGAAAAAAATCGGAAAAACAAAAAATGAAATTAAAAAAAAACAAGTTCGTAAAATTACAACCAACTAAAAAGCAAACTTCGAATAGGACGGATAAGTAAACTGCCAACATGCTCAAAATATGTCTATTGCAGTATTTCCAACAGTGAGACCAGAAGAGGAGTCCTCTGAAAAAAGTTATTTACGGGAAAAAGTGTAGGACCCAATTGCAGTACCATTGCTTGTCGCAAGGGTAATTATAAAAATTCCCCTCTGAATTTGTAATTTTCAACTTTCGATTTAATTTCGAAGTAAAATTTATCTAAATAAAACCTTTTTTTTGACAAATCTTTGTTTGACTCTTAGTTGGAAATGGAATTGTATATATTAATAAACTGTTTTATCTTTCTATCGAATGCAATGAGTTTCAGTAGTTGGAATGTTTTTTTTCGCAAGTGCAATTTTATACCTTAGATGTGGCAGAGGCAGGAAAAATTGACTCCAAAATAGGAATTTACGATGAACTAAATAATTCTTCAAACTTCATTCGATAAAAAAAATAAATTCGAATAAACGTTTTCAACTAACCCAAATGAAAGTTCTCTACAAAACTCATCTCAATCAACGCTAATAAACAAAGTAAAACAAAACAAAAGTTAAATTTGATGACTCGACAAAGGTTCGTATTTGTTCCATATTTTGTTAAACTCATTATTGTACACCTCGACTGACCCTTTGTGGTTAGTAATCATTATATTTTCGTTATTGCCAACAACAGCCTGCTGAGTCCAATTGAACGACCCAGTCGCTACTGTTTTATTATCCACAAGTACAAATTTATGATGCATTAAATTGCCGCAGTTCTTCTCACTCCGCACCGGAACACCGTGCTGTAATAGCTTAGGTACTTGAGTACCAGTTAGTTCAGCAGCATCAGTTATAACTCTAATTTTTACACGACGAGATCTCAGATCAATAAGCATATCCACGAGATCAAAGGAAGTGATGTTGAAAACACAAACGTCAACAGAAGACTCGGCAGATAAAAGAAATTGAAGCAACTTCACCATTGAGCCGAGTTCATGATTGTTTTTGCATTTTTTCCCCAGTCTACATCCAGAAGGTAAAAAGTGAAATGCTTTGCAGTAAACGATTGGATCAGGAAACATAAGGACTTCTACAAACGTCCTTTTGGTTAGGTAGCGCCTGAACTGTCTGAGGCGCGAGATGTTCCACAGCAGCAAGAAAACATCGGCCGCAAAAACAGTAGGCAAGACCCATCTCAGCATCTCGGGGTCATCCAAGCTATCATATCGATCATTATTTTTCCTGAAAAACAACAGATTACACTCAAGAAATGTGCCAGTCGGTCATATTTGAAAGTTTGACCTTGAGAGAAGCAAAAAACACTTAATTTTGGAGTGAAATTTAATTTTTCAAAATTTCGAATGGAACCTGTCATGCACGATTTTCTCGCGATAACTGAAAATCAGAAAAGAGAAGTCAGAACAATCGAGTAACAATCGCGGGAAAGTTGCTAGAAAAATCAGTGGGAAATTGCTATTCGCAATTTCAGTAGCAATAATAATCTAGAGTAGAGCTGTCCCATCTAGAACAGAGACGAGCGCATTCCCACGAACTGGATTGTTGTGATTGGAGTATTATTCTAAACTGGACTAGAGTGAACCTTCGGTGGAAAGGTGGACAGCTAGAGTGTCCCAATGGTTCACGAGAACTTACATTCTAGAGTACAAACTTGTTCTTGTTATTAAAACTGACAAACATTAAACTCATTTTAGTTACTTTATTGATTCTTGAGTTGCTCACCGACTTATTTACTTCCTGGTTCTTGAGCGTGCTACAATGTGAGTACTAATTTAAATTTCTAGAGTGTGTTTTATAATTGTTATGTTGAGGTAAGGCGAGTTTTAGGTTGATCCATCTGAAATGGATCAAAGTTCCACTGTCTAATAAAAAGTAACGTAACGGATTGTTCCAACCCGGTTTTTAACGGCGTTCATGTATTTTGGGTATCTAGAGACCTAAGTATGGGGAAGTTCTTAATTCTAGAGTGGGGGGATATTTTAGTAGTAGCCTTTAAGCTGTAACGGGTCGTAGTCTCATGTCACCAACGAACCGAATTGGCTCCGATTGATTTGAGGTAGAAAAACACAAGAGATAGTGTCCCTGACTCTTGAGCCAATAGTTATAGGGCCTATTTTTCTTAAGCCTCATGTGTGACTGCAGTAGACGAATGTTACATAGTGTTTTTATGGCGCTCCTGGGTGTTTACGACATCAAGACGACGGAGTCAAACCCACTTGAGACAGCTTCGGGCTGAATGCCCATTCTAGAGTACCGGTGGTACGGTTCGACAGGAACGTGCAAACCTTCCGGTTGTACCGTGATAGCTTTTTAAGAAAACTCGAGAAAATTTCCTGGTACGCTCTCCGAACGAGGCTTAGCTAACCGAGTAAAGGGGGGCAACTAGGGGGAAAAAACACGAGCAAAAAGACAAAAAGCAAAACAAAAACCAAAAAAGAATAGAAAAAGGAACAAAAACCATAAAACGAAAAAAGACAGTTACCAGATCAGTTGGATCAAACCTTTATATTAATTAAATAATATACCCATACTGTTTTACAAGTTCGATCGTTTCGATCAACCTAGCAATTTAACCCAGTAACCTTAATAAAGTGCTCGAGTGTGGGGCGTTGTCAAGGGTTTTCAGATAGCTTGGAACTTAGCTGGACAACAAGGAGACTTGACTGGAAGAGGTGACCGGCCGAGTGGGAAACTGGTTCAGGAACACTTGAGCTGAACCAATAGGAGACTGAACTGGAACAGGTGATCAGTCGAGTGGGAAAGCAGCCAAGAAGGATTTGACAGCTCTCGAGTTCTCAAGTTGGGCAGAACGGGTATCGTTACAATTCACATTACATTATAGGAAATAAGTGTAAAATTGGATAAGCGATATCCCCCGGTTTTGAGAAACGTTTTTACTTGAGCAGGCCTGGAGACAGGTCTACGGTTTTCTCTTGCGAGGTTTAGCACCCGGCGCTTGAGGTAATTTTGGGCTTAAGAAGGGGGGCTAAAAAGGGGGGAGGTTAGAAGGGGGGCTGGTTAAGTTAGAGGTTGGTGGTTGTAAATTGTAAAAAAAGGGAGAAAATTAGAGTAACTAATTAGTCGACATCGTTGACTTAGTTACATTAGACATAAACACGCGTTGGTAATAATAGGTTGATATCCAAAATTTAACTCGAGTTAAGACTGGTACGCTGGTTGGATTGGTAGGGGGGACCGGATATAGACAGCTTTTGCGATACCCCATAAGATCGCTAGTGGGGGGAGGAAAACGCGTGGCAATTAGGTACCAGACATTCCTTTTTCGACGGAAGGTAGACATTGGTAACCTTTGAATTTCAGGTGGGCTCATTTTCCTGTTTTTATTACTTTTTCTAGCTTGGATTTTTTGTTGCATTTTGGGGAGGATTCGTGTTTAGTTTTTATACGAACAGGTGATCACAAGATACCTGCGCACAGGTTTTGGTCTCAAGTTGCTTGGAACATTGAAATAGAGGTAACTAAAAAGAAATAAGAAAAAAGGGGGGTCAGCATTTGGCTTTTAAGAGAGGGTTTTTGGGAAAATTTTACTAGAGCCTGAGTGGTGGTACAAAGTACAGTGAATCAAGAAGTCCCCATAACGAAGAAGAGAGAGGTCCCACCGCTCAGACACTTGTCAACAGTCTTGGGACAGTGCCAAAGAAGTCCTGGGACAGTGTTGGACCAGAACAGTCTTGATACAGTCTTGGGACAGTGGTCTTGGGACAGTGGTCTTGGGACAGGGTCTTGGGACAGTGGTCTTGGGACAGTGGTCTTGGGACAGGGTCTTGGGACAGTGGTCTTGGGACAGTGGTCTTGGGGCAAGGGTCTTGGGACAGGGTCTTGGGACAGTGGTCTTGGGACAGTGGTCTTGAGACAGTGGTCTTGGGACAAGGGTCTTGGGACAGGGTCTTGGGACAGTGGTCTTGGGACAGTGGTCTTGGGACAAGGGTCTTGGGACAAGGGTCTTGGGACAGGGTCTTGGGACAAGGGTCTTGGGACAGTGGTCTTGGGACAGTAGTCTTGGGACACTAGCCTTGGGATAGTAGTCTTGGGACAGTAGTCTTGGGACACTAGCCTTGGGACAGTGGTCTTGGGACACTAGCCTTGGGACACTAGCCTTGGGACAGTAGTCTTGGGACACTAGCCTTGGGACACTAGCCTTGGGACAGTAGTCTTGGGACACTAGCCTTGGGACAGTAGTCTTGGGACACTAGCCTTGGGACACTAGCCTTGGGACACTAGCCTTGGGACAGTAGTCTTGGGACAGTAGTCTTGGGACACTAGCCTTGGGACACTACTCTCAGGTCAGGGGTCTTGGGACACTGACGGAGTACTGGGACATTACCGAACAGTCTTGGGACAGTAAAAGGAAGCCTGGGACGGTACAAAGAAGAGTAGGGACGGTAACTGGAAGTCTTAGGACAGTATAAAAATTGAAGTAAAATTACAACAAGTTGTTTTAAGACAGGATTAAGACAGAACAAGACTAATTGGAACCCGGTACGGTTGGGACCACAAATAAAGAAAGTTACTCGAAGATTTTAGAGAACTGGAACAAGGTTTTTATCACGTTGTATATTTTCTTTTAAGAATTTGTTTCCACAAAATTTCTTTATTCTTAGAATAGGATTGTGTATATAATAATATTGTAAATAAGAGCAATTGTAAATAGAAATAATGAGACGGAGTAGGGTACCGGTGCTTGAAAAAAGG